ATGGTGTAAGAAGAACAGTGGCTTAAGATGAACCAACGCTTGTATACGAGTTAACAGAGACCCCATAAACCTCTGACGTCACACACATTAAGCAACACGTCACCACGGGTCTCTGGGCGATTGGCGCCGATTTATTGCCAGTTTGAAAGTTTGGATGCGAAAAAAAGTGTTTTGACGATCATCAAATGAAAAGTTGGAAAGTGGGAATATCATCAAATACTCTGGTAAGTATAATTGTTTTCTTTTCATTGTTAATTCCTGGAGGTGGAATTGTTATTTGACTGTTCTTCTGTGCACGTTGTTAATGGTTACAGAGTGGATTGCCTTGCTGCCAGATGAATTTTTCAAGATGGCTGCCGTGGGGTGAGATGAACCCTTGAGCTGGGGGTAAGATGAACCCCAACATGTGTGCCACATTATTCTCTCTCCTACCCCGCCACCCCTCATTCAATATAAATAGTATCCCCGCCTTCTGGATATTCTGTGCTATAAATCCCCTCTTTTCTGTCGCTCTCTTCGTTTTGATTTGCTCCTTTGCCTGCTTGTCATTTCTTCCTAGGCCTACATCACTTATTTACATTAGTGGAAACATCAAATTTGTTTGGTTGAAAAAAAAACTAAGTAGTCCTCTCATTTTAGACTAGAACATTAGTCTTATTTCCATGTTATCTGTTCCCTTTCAGATGCCTCGGAAGTATGTCCGAAAGACGGAGTGGGCAAAGTCCGCATCGATGTGATGAAACGGGCCGCTGCTGAATTCATTGCTGGTGCTCCCCTACGAGAAGTAACACAGAACTTATCGTCCGTGCCACACTACGTCGCTTCATTGTGAAATCAAGGGATAAAGCAGATGAAGACATCATAACTGGATATGACAGACTGTCAAAATTAAAATGTGTGTTCCCACTGCGAAATAGAGAATGAACTGGCACGGCACATAACACACTTGTCCAACCAATTTCATGGTCTGAGTGTAGAGAAATGTCGGGCACTAGCCTTCGAGTTTGCAAAAAAAGAATGCCATTCTGGTTCCGGCCAACTGGGAAAGGGAAAATAAGGCTGGTAAAGAGTGGTTCTACTCATTTAAAGGTAGGCACAAATTAGCCGTTAGAGCACCAGAACCTACGTCTCTTGCTCGGGCGACTGCTTTCAACCGCCACAATGTAGACCAGTTCTACAATAATTTGGCAGCAGTTATAGACAGATTCAAGTTATCTGCAAATGATATTTGGAATCTCGATGAAACTAGCTGCACCACTATGCAAAATCCTGGAAAAGTTGTCTCAGAGAAAGGAAAAAAGCAAGTTGGATCTCTGACCAGTGCAGAACGTGGTAAATTAGTGACACTGGAATATTGTGTGAATGCTGTGATTCCACCATTGTTTGTGTTTCCACGGGTGAATTTTCGGGAACATTTCTTGAATGGTGCACCTGCTGGCTCTATTGGAATAGCAGCTCGCACTGGCTGGATGAATGAAGACCTGTTTGTAGATTATATGCTACATTTCATTCAACACACTCGTTGCTCGAAAGAAAGACCAGTGCTGCTAATTCTGGATAATGTGGAAGCACATATCACGATCAAGACAATTGACCTTGTACATGAGAATGGCGTTTTTCTGCTCACACTTCCTCCCCACACATTCCAGCGATTACAACCTCTTGATAGAGCCGTCTACGGTCCATTTAAGAAGGCCTATAATGCGGCAATGGACGGGTGGATTCGCTCTCATCCTGGGAGAACAGTTACCATCTGCGACATTCACCCCATTGTTTCTGAAGCTCAGCTCTGTGCCATGTCACAACGCAATATCAAAGCAGGATTTGCAGCCACTGGCATCTATCCCTACAATAAGGATATATTCATGGATGCTGATTTTGCTTCAGCTGCAGTTACTGACCGTCAAAATCCTGAAACAAATGCAGATGCTGCAGATCTGGATCCAATTCCTGGTCCAAGTTCAGGTGCTGTGGGTTCATCGCCGATCCGAAGACCTAGTTCTTGTGGCATGGGCCAACAGCCTGTTTCCAGTTCTTGTGAATACGTCTGGCCATCAGTAATCTATCCTTTCCCAAGAGCTGAACCAAGAAAAACAAAAGGGAGAAGAAAGAAAAGGGCAACCAAAATACTGACTGACACACCAGTCCCAGAAGAATTGGAAGCAGAAAAAGCAAAGTTTAAACCCACCAAAGACATAAAAAAAGAAACTGTTTAGCCAAACATCCCAAAAAACAACAGCCAATGTCACCTCGAATGACGACAGCGATGATGAAGACTGTGAGTCCATGGCCATGAACGATTCTGATGACGACGATGTATCAGATGACGAACTAATAGAAGGTGATTTCATGGTAGTTAGCGTCAATAGCAAGAAAACCAGACGTCAATACATCGCCAGAGTCGATGTAATTGATGTTGATGAACTTGAGGGTGTCTTCTTGAAGAGAATCCAAGGCCGAAAACCCATGGACGGCAGACAGGCGTTCATTACCGACCCCGATGATGAAGCATCATTTGATAGAAAATATATTGTAAAAAAAAAAAAAAACTACCCGCGCCAAACAACTTGTTGGGGAGTGAACGCAAATCCAACCAATGGTTCTTCCCCTGTGACCTGGAAAAATTCAATCTTTCATAGACTGGAATGTGACTGTATTGCCACGGTGATTGTTGTTTGCTTTTTTACAAGTGTACAGCTGGATGCCACAATTGGAGAGTAAAGTTGCAGGTCTATGCTTTTTTCTGAAATTTAAATCATTTTTTCCTTTCTTTTCTGTTATTTTGTAGAAATATCTTTTTTCTCCCCTCAACCTCAAAGGGGGGTTCAACTTACCCGCATGGGATGGTTCAACTTACCTAATATGTGGGGTAAATTGAACCTTTCTAACACCATTTTTCAAGTGCTTTAAAACTGTGGAAGACATATGACAATATCCAAATTGTAGATGGTCAAAGGTAAATGGCAAGTGCTCAATTTAACACCAGCATAGACTGGATGACATTACCACGGGAGACACCAGGTCAAAAAATCTAAAAAGTGGTTCATTTTACCACATCCTTTCCTAGATAGCGATTGATATTGCATTTACATTTTTGAAGTTGGCTGGAAAGCATGGAACTAGAAAAGAGTTCCAAAAGCGAGAAGTACGAGAAAAGAAATAAAAAAAAGGATAGAATTTACGGTTACTTCTATCCAAAGCAACAGTAAATTGATTAGATGTCGACACCAGTCTATTGCTGCGCTTAAATTTAAAGAGTCTCGGTACCATATTGAAGAGCTATATTTATTGTATAAATATACAAAATAGGGGCACGAGGTCAAAGTGGGGAATCGAGGAAATTGGTTGGTCTTTTCTTATAATTAAACTTAGCTATCCACAATCACTGATCCAAACATACCACAATATTTCTTAGGCCAAAACAACACATTCTTTTTTATCATTATTATTACATCCACCATAATACCACAGAATCTCCATGAAGTCCTAACTAGTCCCCATACAACTCATCCGAACAATTACCGTGAAAGTATTTATAGAAAAGGCAGAGGGAGGCAACCTTAAGACGGTAGGATAATGAATGAAGCCGAGACGCTAGAAAAGGACCAAAAATTGCTGATTCTTCTTTGGATTTTTGTGGGTAAGCGTGTTTCTGTAGACGCCTTATTTTTTTAAAAAAAAAGAAAAGAAAAAAAAAGAAAATTTCAGTGAGAGGAAAATGTTGTCTGATTCGGCGTGCTTTAGGCAACACTGTCACAGAGATAATCAGCGCTTGGCAATGTTCAAATTATTAATGTTCTTTTAAAGCAGACAACTTGTCCAAAGCTGCTATAAAGGCCACATACGAATTCATTTTTAAGAAATTGGTGGATTTTATTTTTAATCCAATATTAATGAGAAATAATAGCGAATTAGATATAAAAATCCACTAATTGCTTAGAAAGTACTATCTATCTATCTATCTATCTCAGTTTATATCTATCTATCTAAATATCTTCATCTATCTATCTATCTATCTATCTATCTATCTATCTATCTATCTATCTATCTCAGTCAATTTATATCACTCTATCTATCTCGGCCTGTTACTATCTATCTATTTAAACTACATCACGTAGATACATTCTGCTTTTATTAATCATTTTTCCACAAGCAAGGCAATAAAGCTACTAACATGCAAAGGATTACTGAGTTTGAGAAAATATAAGGAAAAAAACTATCAAGGAGAGATAACTATAGAGAAACAGGAATTAAGACGACAGAAAATAACGATTGACATTTTATTAAAATTTTGCAGGTAAAAATTGACTGGAAAGCCAGAAGCTGGAAAAGAATTCCACATGCGAGAAGAAACTACTAACATAGAACTTGCGATTACATCTAGCCATTTCAACTGTAAATTGATGAGACCTTTCCATCAATCTCCGCTTAAAATCATAGAGTTAAAATACCAATGAGAAAAACTTAGAACAATTACCATGAAAGTTACGCTTTCTACTGTTCTCGGAATTACTTTTCTTTTTACTTTTGCTCCTTAGTAAAGTTTCTGTTTTATAATTCTTTCACACCCAGTAGCCCCTTGTGTCGTACTTGGAGTGAAATCGACCCCCCCACAAAAAAAAAAACTTTTGGAAAGCATCATTCGCTATTCAATTGCGCCGTCTGATTTCGATATCGTGTTTTTCGTTCTCTCTTAAAACTCTTCGTAGGTATTTAATGTTTTGTAATTGTTTGATTTTGGTTTTTCCATTTCATCTATCACACATTGACTTGTTCTTTTTAGCCGACAACACTTCATTCTGTCTTATTACAATTCCTTTTTAGGCATTTCTTCTCGCTTTCTTTACTGTGTTCATTTTTTATTTTTTTAGCCAATGTTCTTCATAATTCTTTCACAACAGAATCTTTCCTCAGTATTTTCCTGCTTATTATCTTTTTAATTTTCCTCTAATTTATATTCATGATAATTTTTCGCGGGTGATTTCTTGTTCATACATTCTGACATGTACTGTGAAAACAACGACTCACATAATATAAACCGGCATATATATATATATATATATATATATATATATATATATGTGTGTGTGTGTGTGTGTGTGTGTATATATAGCTGGCGACTCGTGTTCGAGAATACTCGGCTAGGTAATTCTTATTGCAGACGCTTGCTCAGGCATATTTGTGTTTATTTAACACCCACAGAGCCCACCTGTGGTTTGTACTATGCTAAGCAGATCTTAGTTACCGTTTCTGGGAAAGAGCGTGTTATCTAGCATGATCAGCAATTTGAACATAGCCAGCACTCTCAAGCCCTCGGCCACGATGACTTGATCGAATTTCACTCCGTGGTATGTTTTTCAGGCACTTTCCAAAGGAAGCCGCACGCTGGGATCGTACCCTCCAGTCCGATATCCTCAGGAAGTCTCCTTCCTGACAAATGGTGAGATTCGAACCCAGGCCTCATGGTCAGAATGCAAACGTTCTAACCACTCGGCCACGTGCCAATAACCGGCAATTAAAATTTAACAAAGAGAAATCCTGTAATGTAAATCAACGGGAGAAGACATGAGTATTATCTTTGATGGTATATAAACACGCACTTTGGGCACCACGAGGCGGTGTAATCATGGGTTCCCCTGCATTTGGCCTTGTGCCATATATAAGCTACGCTTGGAAAATCACTATATTAAATCCTCTTTTGGGCACCTCGAGGCGGTGTAATGTTTAGCAAGCTTGTCTCGCTAAAACAATTACGACTGAGTAGTGAGTTCGATCCACACTGGGTGCCCCCCCCCACATTCGTCCTTGTGCCATATCTAAGTTACGTTTAGAAAATCTATATAAACACGTTCTTTTATTTCCTTTGTTTTCCTAAATTATTAAATGTAGTCCAAACAAGTTTGGCCCTGGGCCAAACTGGGAATATGAATGCATTTCCAGTAAAATTCGCTGTAACATGCAAAATACATATTCCCTGTTGAGTTGAAATAGGAACATGGTTTAGATTCGCATGGGTCTGATCAGGTAGTTTTTTTTTTTAAATTCGAGTTTATAGATGCATGATTGATCTCTTACTTAGTAAACAGAGATACAGAGCCGATATTATAATGAAAAAAAATATAGCTTTTCTTTTTTTCAGTATTATATATTGTTTGGAACACAGACGATGAATAATGAATCGTTTACAACAATGTGGAGCGAAAAAAAGCTTCCAGGTGAAAACGAAATTTACACTAGTTAAGCACCCCAAAAGCCAACCTGCATCTGAAGAGAGTGAATGTCTGCAACTGAAGAGAGTGACTGTCTGTAAACGGTGGAATTGAAAAAAGGAATTATGTATTGCGATGTTCTCCCACAAAATCAGACATTTCATGCGAGTATTGTTCCCTTATTCAATCGATTAAAGACACGTGTCGATTTAGAGTGTCGCCTTTTATTAGAACAACGATAGACCTCACATTTCTTTTCAGCCCAGAAGGAATTGGGACTGCTTGGTTGGGATGTCCTACTACACTTACTCTACACACCTGACCTTTCACCTTCGGATAACCATTTATTTCGATTCCTACAAAAGCCACTTTATGGAAAGAACATTAATTCTTTGAAAACCTGTAGAAATCACACAGAGCAGTTCATCGACTAGAAAGATGCCAAATTCTTGCAGAATGGGATGATGAAGCTGCCTCAAAGATGGTGAAATATAGTGGAACCAAATTTCTCATACGAATCGAATTGAACCACCGTTTCCCGTAGACTCCCCGAAATTAAGCAACGTCGAGCCTACTCAGTACGTAGATGGGTATTCGCTTAGGAATACCAGGTGCTATAAACTCAGAGGTGCGGGTGGTGTAATGGTTAATGACTCGGAATTGTTAATTGGATAGGCGTGTTCCAATTACCGTTGGATTCGTTATATTCAGTTACGCGCAAATAAAATACTTATTCTTCACCCATGATATAGATTAATTAGTAGAACTTGGATCAGTAAAAATCATTGTTATTCTTACAAAAAATATTTATATTTTCTGGCTTTAAATAACCTGTAAAAAGTTGCCAAGCCGTAGAAAACGCATCGAACAATGGATCAAATAAATAAATATATGTCAGTCAGTTATGTGCCATGCGTGATACATGCTTAGGCAATCATGTATCTTTCGATACATGACTAACGAGGCAAATGTTTTTTTCCCGCAGTAGGATGTCATTTCTTTCTGCGATAGACCAGTTGACATCCATTTGTCCAGCTATTTACCCGTAGCTGGGGGGGGGGATAAGAAGAGGATTCATACCTTTCCTAAGGGTATTAGCACCTAAGTGAATGTAATGGATTCGACTGGAATTCAAACTTGGCATATATACAAGGAATCAGTCAGTTATGTGCCACGCATGATACACGCTTAGGCGATCATGTATCTTTCGATACATGACTGACGAGGCTGAGTTGCCATTTCTTTCGGCGATAGACCAGTTGCCATCCCAGTCTGTGCTGCTATTTATCCATAGCTGCGGTAAGAAGAAGAGAATTTATACCTTTTCCAAGGGTATTAGCACGTAGGTGAATGTAATGGATTCGACTGGAATTTGAACTCGGCTCTAGGATTTTCAATCCGAGCCGCTATCCATTACACCACCGTATGCTCTCTAAATGTATTCGAAATGCGACTAAAAACGCTACAGACTTTTGTTCCGTCTCATTACAGTGAAAATTCAAACTGTACGTTACAAAATGTTTATGAGTATTGGACGTGGTAAAGATAAAAATAAATAATGTTAAATTTTTAATTTTTTTTCTTATTAGATTTTGTGATTTTCAGTGGAATTAATTATAATTAAAAAGATCATTTACATTTAAGGTAGTAAATGAAAAGCTATAACTTAAGATCATGCGAGACGAAGAGATTTTTCCTATTTATTAATATGCAATTTAGAACAATCTTCGGAGATGTTACTGCTATTTGTGTCCATTGCATCTTTCACACTTGAAGATAAATTCATTAGTACAAATACATTACTTTTTTTTTATCTCTAAAGTATTTGATATTTTATCGGGTTTTAACAGAAGTAGAATTTTCGATGTCTTTCTGGAAATCAACGGTAAAATCATTTTCGGCTGCGTTTACACACTTGGATTTTTCTGACGTCATTTGCGCAAAGGATGATGGGAATGGTGCTCTGACAATGCTAACACACACACACAAGAATACACATAACGATATATAGTGGGGAGTGGGGAATAAAGAGTGCGATTTAATAAGGTGCGAAGTATTGATCAAGTGAATCGACATTTTTGACGTTTTAATTAAAATTTTAACGCAAGATTTTTATCGAATTAGTAAGGTGACAGCCGTAGTGGCTAAATAAAGAAACGGGCCAGGTGGATCCGTGTTTTTATCGTTGATTCTCTCTATTCATTAATACGTTTTGGAGGATTGAACGACAGGCTTACCCGAAGATAACTTTTTCTTTAATTTAACCTTGTGACCTGATGCATCGATTTGTAAGGTCGATATTATGTAATATTTTCATAATAGGTTTCAAAATAGAAAACCGTTGTCTCAATTTCAGAGATGAATTATTCTTTCGGCTAGGATCAGAGCGAGATATCTGTCCTCTTAAAGTTGTGATGTAAACCTGGTCCCAGTGATTCCAAACTTGCACTAGGGATGGAGGATTGGTGGATACCAACTCCAGCGTGATAACGTTGGCGGAGACTGGGCAATCAATTGTTGTTCTTGGCCTGTATGTAGGCGTATAGGCGTTCTACATTAAAACCATATTGTGTCACGTCCTACCTCTTTGGGGAGTTCGGCAAATACCGATCAGACTCAAGTGTATGTTTTTCATCTTCCTGCTGATTTTCTATCATAAAACAACTTACAGAAAAAATTTGAGGGATGCTTTAACCCGGAGATTCTATCTGCATCATTACACTGCAAAGGTATATTTAATGTGTTTTTAATGGCATATCAAATCCTTATTGGTTATTTAATGCCAAAATTTAATTTCCTTGGGAGTATTGTAATTTTTACTATTAAAATCAATTACTGGAATTCTTTTACTATAAAAATATAGTTTTATAATTTTATAGTGATTTGGCGCTAGTTTGCTTGTTTACTATTTGCATATAGCTTGGCTCATACTATGTGCTACCACGCCGGATTATGGTAGACCTGGTAACAACGCCGATTCAGAGCTGTTTCCTCATTCCTCAAAAGCTCCTGATCAGAAGCCTTTACTGGCTAATGCAATTCATTCTCATACCAAGGACGAGGACGATTTAAATTTAGTGGATATTGAATCCAGAGTAAAAGTAGGTTATAGATAATTTTTGTCCTTAGACCGTATATATACGCATGGCAACCTCACATTAAACCAAGCTTGTGTCAAATTCTACATTCCATCTTGGATCAAAGTGTAGAATCTTTTTTCGTCTTTAAATGAATCCTTAAGAGTGGGATTCCAACCTTGTAATTGCTCCTTCTTCATTGCATTAAAGAGGATACCGAAGACAACATGAACACCGACTACAGCATGACAGTGATTGTAGCTACTCTGCAATATTTGTACCTGACCAGTATGTACGGCACTCGACGTTAAACCGATTGGTTGATTGAATTGCTTTTTTGTTTTACCGCTTATCAACCCTTTGCACGTTTTTAAAGCCAGACAATATTTTTACATTGTAAGATTGTTTTGGAGGTGAGATAATAATAATTAAGTGATACAAGTCATACTAATTAACATATAGCTGGGGAGATGAGGTGGATTCATACCTTTCCCAAGGGTATTTGTGCGTAAATGAATATTACGAACCCAACTGGAATTGGAACCCGGCTCTCCAATTAACAATTCCGAGTCATTATCCATTATAATACCTGCAAATCCAAGTTTACAGCACCTGGTTTTCTCAAGCTGTCACCAATCTAGATACTGACCAGGCTCGACGTTGCTTAACTTCGGTGTTCGTATAGAAGCACGTGTTTCAACGTGATATTACCGTAGTGATTTTTCAAGCGTAGCTCAGATGTGGCACAAGGTCGAAAGTGTGGGACACCCAGTGAGGATCGAACTCACTACTCAGTCGTAATTGTTCTAGCGAGACATGCTTGCTAACCATTACACCACCTCAAGGTGCCCAAACGGGATATTGCTGTAAGCCACTTTTAACCGACCTTGTGTTACAGCTTACAACTCTGTCAAAATGGGTAAATTTTCTCCCCACTCTTTCAACCGCTATGTTTCATTTACTCTGCTTTCCGGGGTTCTTCTGAAGTATGTTGCATGCAGCAGACTTGAAGAATATTGAATATCTTGTCTTTTTGAAGATCTTTAGTGAACGCTCATCTCTGCTTCCCTTGTTATTTCAGAAATTCGAGTAATAATGATTAGATCACCACTTGCAATGTTTTAATTAATTAGAAAGAATCCTGATCATTAACGACAAAAACAAGCTCAAAAGTACCGATACCATAAGACCGAAGCCAAATCTGTGAAAATGTAGACGAACTTCTCCCAGATCTAGCACTCTCATATAATTTAATATGAATCAAATTTTCTGTGACTTATGAGAAATTGATAGTTCCAAATAAAATATAATCTTGGAAATAACATATCCTAGAATACGTTAATATTAATTTGATGTGTTTTCAATTGGCGTTTCCTATAAAAACGATGTCCATGCGTTCATTCGTCGCTTAATTGAATAGTGATCCAATGTTCAAAAGCGAGGATTAACATTGTCCTGTGCATTGAGTTCGAGTTTATGATTAAATAGAAATTCAGATTAGTTATTGGTTGCTAAGGTTATTTTACAACCAGTCAAGACAGCAATTTGATCAATTTATGGTTCTCAATTAGCTTTAAACTGACCACGAAGACACTTTTTATAAGCAGAGATAATCTCACGATCATAAATTCTGCCATTTTCCCCGATTACATTTTCTCATAAAGTTTACCTTCTGACATAAATTGAAAAAAAATAAAACATTAATAAGTTTCAAATGAAACCAGTTTCACGGCTGATATCTGGATTTATTTCTATGAAATGGATAACATTTTATATTCAAAGTTTTCGTTGGCTAGTGTTTCGTGTATTTTTAGGTTAAAATTTCCATCTGTATTTTATTTTTTTAAACACAACTTTAGTTCACTATTTACATTATTCGGACTATTATCCTCGTCGTTGTCGCCATATTTATTACAACGTTTCGGTAGTTGTACGCTCCGGCCTTCTTCACGTGGTTGGAATGTCGAACTGAAGCCTTTATTTCGCTTACTGGGGTAGACTGTTCTAGTTCCACGTGCCATGTTTAATGGATGTCCGAGAGAGAATCCAGTACAATCATTGGATAAAACAGAGACTACAAGCTCATATCTCACATAGGCTCAAGGATTTCTTCAACAGAATTACCAATGAAGAAGCCCGGAAAAAGATCCAAAATGACTTGGATAAATCCTTCAGACATGAATTCGATGTAGTCAAGGCTCGCCAAGTAAAAAAATTAAACAGATTGAAAAATCAGGTGACGCACCAGGTCCATTACCCACCAGTGAAAGCAGTAATCAACATCAGCCAATATTAGCTGAGTGCCTCTGAGGAGTCAGTATTGAATAAGTTTCTCAATTTCGCCACAACCATCAGGCGAGTGCCATACTTGAACATCAGTGCCAGAGTCGAGGAGGTGGCATTGAACTTCCCTCAAGCTCAGGCGGATGAAGTGAGATGGAAGGTGAGACAGACCTCGGAGAAGATCAAGCCGCCCAGGTCAAACATCACGAAACTGGAGAGGCTGGCGATCGGATCCCTACAGAAGAACGAAAACGTCATCATACTACTGGCTGACAAAGGCATTGCTACTGAAGTGGTGGACAGATTGGATTATACAAGAAGGCTGTAAGACCTCATTAGCAATGGTAGCTACAGCAAAGTAAAAAGGATCCTATAATGAAAACGGAACGCAAGCTGTCAGAGATTCTAATCAAGAACAAGGATCACTTCGCACCTAAGACGTATAGGTAGTTTTCGCAGAGTTACACCAAGCTACCTCGCATATATGGTCTCCCTAAGATTCACAAAGACGGTATTCCACTCATGCCGATTGTTAGTTGCCAAGGCTCTGTGTTCCACCTTCTGAGTCGCGTCCTTGTAGATATAATTGACCCATTGATTGTAATAATGGCGACAAAGATGAGGACAATAGTCCGAATAATGTAAATAGTGTACATAATACCTTATCTCAGAAATAAAGACAGACAAATTTAGTTAGCAATAGTATATCATTTTAATATAAGGCAATAAAACTAACAACAACTATTTGAAAAGAGAAAAGGCCGAGGTAAGTAGGAAGGAAATCTTATTTAAAAAATGAGAAAAATACTAACAATTTATCAAAGACGAACATGGACGACCGTGGACCGATGGTTACCTCAACTATAGGATCGGTCAGTTAGTTATGTGCCATGCGTGATACACGCTTAGGCATAATGTATCATTAACTGACGTGACAGAATTTTTCCGTGGAAGATTGCCATTTCTTTCTGCGGTAGACCAGTTTCTTTTTCTTCCCCACCACCCCATGGGTGGGGGTGGGGAAGGAAAGGTTCATACCTTCCCCAAGGGTATTAGCACGCAAATGAAAGTAATGGATTCGATTGAAATTCGTACTCGGCTCTCTGATTCCTCAATCCGAGCCACTATCCACCGTCCCTCCTCTGTAACTACATGTCTTTCTGTTATAGACCAGTTGCCATCCAAGGTCATGTCGTGCTATTAACTCATGGTGGTGGTGGTGGTGGTGTGGGTAGAAGAAAAGGATTCATACCTTTCCCAAGGGTATTAGCACGTAAGTGAATGTAATGGATTCGACTGAAATTCGAACTCTGCCCTCCGATTCCTGAATCCGAGTCTGCTACTACAGGATACCTAGTATCCTGCAGTAATTTTTTTTAGCTATCATGGTACATACATAAACTGGACAATCATCGTACGTATTCGAAAGGTTTGCCAGAATGTTCACCACAAAACTGTAAGCGTGGTAACCAGGAACCGGTAGATTTATTCAAAGTATTCAATATTCAATAAACTTATTGAAGGTTATTCAAGGTCAGTTATTTAGGAAAGATAAAACAGTGATAACAAATTTTCCGCTGGGCACCCTGTAATCGGACAATGATTATGAGTTCGATTTCACTTAATTTCAATTTACTTAATTTCGTGTGGAATATTAACAGCAGAGTAAATATTACACGTGAAAATGCAGCTAATAAATGTGAATCTATTAATCAATTGCGTATTTCTTCTAAAATATATTATACACTCACACGTGTATGTGTAATCGAATTAAGCACGTACATGCGAGTGAAAATGCATTCATTCATAAGATCTATGTTTCTATATAGCAGAAACATATTAGATATTTTTGATTAGATTTTAATCAGAGGTTTTGCAAAGTCAAAGAATTCATTCTGTCATATAATTAATCTATTAATACCCATTGTAAAAAGCGATATTTATTAAGAACACAAATCCGGCATTATTTATTATAAATATCAGTGAAAATTTAATGGTTTCCCTATTTGAATTTTCGGATGAATCTTAATTGGTAACTTAATATTGAATATGCTCATGGCGCGTTCTACGACAATGAAATATCCGTAGAAAGTCTACTATCGTATCCTTAAATATTTGAGCTTAACAACTTTAAGAAAATATTGCATTTACAATCATAAATAAGAATGCTGGTCGTTATTTTAAGAAGTAAGGGGGTACAAATGAAAAGATTTAAAATTGACAAGTTTTTCCATTTCACAGCAACAGACGTTAAACATTTCTATCTTCCCTACTTCCTGTTTTTCTTTCTTTCTTTCTTTGACTTAAACCGAATAGCGTCTCTGATATATCTTTTCTGTATTTCCCAGTGATCAAAACGGAACAGTCCATTATTTATGACGTATTGACAGGAGACGGTAAACGCATTTATCTTCCCTTCGTTCTTTGTTTCTTTCTTTCTTTTTCTCAATGAAACCAAGTAGCGCCTCTGTTATGTTTTTTTTTTCTTCACATTTTTGGTGATTAAAACGGAATTGTCCATTATTTATTAGATAGGAGATATTAAACTGGTTTGTCTTCCATTCTTTCTTTCATTCTTTCTTTTTTTTTCTATCGTTCTTCATTTCTACGTTCTTCTCACTGAAATCACGTAGCATCTCCAATATAAATTTTCCGTCTTTCCACGCGATCGAAACGGAATAGTCCAATATTTATGAGGTATTGACAGGGGAGTAATGGTCGTGTGACTAATGGAGGAAACTAGCAAAATTATTATAAGATGAGGGTTTTATAACTATAAAGCATTAGTTATTTATATATAATTCACAAATTGGTTCGTGTTTTATTCAGTTTTTGTTTGGGCAACAGAATCTTTTTTCGACGTTTTCAGGAATTGATTTTGCACAAATAAATTTACCTATACTATTTACATTGGTCAGACTATCGTCCTCATCTTTGTTGCCATATTTATCACAACGTTTCGGCCGTTGTACACTTCGACCTTCTTTAGTTGGTTGGAATGCCAAACTGAACCCTTTATTTCGCTTGCTGGGGTAGACTGTTCTAGTTCCACGTGTCATTTCTAATGGATGTCAGTTATCAGTTATCTCCAGTTAATTCCCCTCTCCAAGTTCTGCACCGCCTTAACCAGGTATTGAACTCACACTCTTTGGGTCCTGTCACTGGATCTAACTAACGCTAAACGTTAAAATCTAATGTCGCTCTGAGCTCCGTTACAACTTAGATACATTTGAAGTGAAGATATGGGCAGGGGAGGGTGAAATCTTGCAAAAGACAATAAATACACAATCAGATTATAATACACAAACACGTAGACATATTTAGATATATAAACGCACAAAAAAGCGACGAAACATGAAATAGGTGTCAACGACACTTAAAAAACAAAAACAAAAAAACAAAAAACAAAAACGACAACATATACATACAGT